CCTGGGAGAATCAGGTTCTCACCCTGAGAAGCCACTTCTGAATCTCCACCAACTGGTGCTCTTGTGCGGGTTGGATTGGATCCATTTAAACTGGAGAAAAGGATTGGTTGAGTGTTCTTCATGACTCTCAGGAAAAGGTCGAGGCGCTTGACGTTTTTGAGCTGCAGCACTTTTCTCCAGGGGAAGGAGTGAGGAGACTGAGGGATCTGTGCGTGGCCCCAAATTCCCACTGATGTTCCCCAACACCCAGCCCCCCTGCCCCACCTCCCCACAGCCCTGCTCCATAGACGCAGGGGGAGGGAAAGGAGTACAGTCTGCCTGTGATAAGCATCCCTTCTCCCCATCGCTTAATTCCTGGAGGTGGAATATATCCAAAACTGTCCTCCCAAAGTTTCTCCTGGTTACAGGTTATTCGGGAAACAAATTTACTTTTACAAATACACCTCGTTCTCAAACCCAATACATGCAACATTTATTAACATCTTGGAGTTGTTTTTATCAGGGTGCCCAGCCTCAGCTGGTGGTCATAAACCTCGCATGGGGAGCTTTTACAAACCACAAGGCCAGGACCCAGCCTTGGACCCACATCATCAGGATCTGGAGGTTGTGGTCTCTCAGAACTGCTGAGGTCTCCAGGTGATTCCAGTGGGCCTCTACGGGTGGAAAATAGCCCTGTTTCAATCAAAGAGCCAGCTACATCTCTGTGAGGGCTGAGCTCCTTTGATTAGGGCAGTGAGTTTAGGGGCAGTTTAGGGTACTGGTTTAGGGGCAGGGAAGCTGCATGAGGGTGCTGCGTGCAGAGGGAGAGACAAGACTGGGGAGTGTGAGAGCTTTCAAGAAAAGGAGCTGCCATCACAGATCAGGAAACTTCCCTGAGAAACATCCAGTGTCCAAAGTCACCAGTGGCCTCAATCATGATCTCTTGAGTAGAGTAACGACAGAAAACCTCAGCTGTCCCACGTTGGCTGCATTTCCAGCCCAGCTCTGACTGTGCAGTGGGGTGAGGGAGAGAATGAAGGTAAGTGCTTGAAACTCACCTCCAATATCTTCCTTTTTTATAGGGCGGAACTTATGCTATTCAAGGGGCCACCCTAAGTATGGCTTTGTTGTAATTAGGAGACTGTCGTTGGGGGCTCAAAGTCATCAGCACTTGGAGGATGCCCTCCAGAGAAGACTGTGGGTATTTCACATAAGATGAGGATTTTGGTTTTTAACTTTACTAAGAGAGTGGTTGTTTGAATTTCTTGTGGAGGGGAACAGAATGCATTGATGGTAATGTTGATCACTTGTGCCTTTTACATGGTGACTAGAACTGAAATTTGAAGTAGTTGGTTTAAATCTCTGCTTATTTGTGGACTTAAGAAAATGAAACTCAGTGACCCACATAGTGAATAAACCTTATGGCT